AAGTTATCTATATGAAACCGCCTCCGGGATTCAAAACAGAGAATCCTAACCTTGTTTGCAAACTTAAGAAGTCGATTTATGGTTTAAAACAGTCACCTCGATGTTGGTTTGCGAAGCTATCTACTTCTCTTATTGACTATGGTTTCATACAGTCAAAGAAAGACTACTCGTTATTCAGCTACCTTCGCGGCTCCACGGTTCTACATATTTTGGTGTATGTTGACGATTTGGTGATCTGTGGTAATGATTCTTCTGTTATCACTAAGTTCAAAGTCTATCTCAGCGAGTGTTTCAGGATGAAAGACCTTGGTCCTCTCAAGTACTTCTTAGGGATTAAAGTTGCTCGTGGCCTCGACGGTCTCTACTTATCCCAGCGAAAATATTGTCTCGACATTATCACTGAATGTGGTCTCACAGGAGCTCGACCTGCAGAAACGCCTATGGAACAACATCACAAACTCCTCTCTTCAAAGAGTCTTCCGCATCCGTATCCTGAGCAATATCGCAGGCTTGTTGGCCGTCTAGTCTATCTTACACACACCAAACCTGAGTTAAGCTATGCGGTTAACATTCTTGCTCAATGTATGAAGCTTCCGTTGTCTGATCATTGGGATGCAGCTCTCCGCGTGGTTCGCTATCTAAAGGGATGTCCTGGTCAAGGTATCTTACTCTCCTCTACCTCGTCACTTCAAATCACTGCTTTTTGTGACTCTGATTGGGCAGCCTGCCCTCTGACTCGACGCTCTCTCACTGGCTACTTGGTTCTTCTCGACAACTCCCCGGTCTCTTGAAAGACAAAGAAACAGGATGTTATCTCACGCTCTTCCGCTGAGGCTGAGTATCGAGCCATGTCGATGACTTGTCAAGAACTCATGTGGGTTAAAGAAGTTCTCCTCTCTCTTGGTATCACTCATGATCAGCCTATGCAGCTTGTTTGTGATAGCAAATCCGCACTTCATATCGCAGCAAACCCGGTCTTCCATGAGCGTACTAAACACATCGAATCTGATTATTACTTCATCCGTGATGAGATCACCGCTGGTAATATTGCTACTTTTCACGTTCGTACAACATAGCAACCGGCGGACATCTTCGCTAAGGCGCTTGGGCGACAGCAATTCAATCATTTATTAGGCAAGTTAGGCGTTTATAACTTGCACGCTCCAACTTGAGGGGAGGTGTTACGATTAGGATACTTTCCTATTTCTGTATATATATAGCAATATTCGTATATAGTTTTAGCATCTCAGTATAATACTTAATCGTTGTAACCTATATATACTTAACATCTTATATCAATACGATGAAGGAATTCTCTTAAACTTTTGTTGAACTCCTATTATTATTTACTAAATTACTAATTTTGTATCAAGTGAAACAAAAAACAACGTCTCAAAGAAGTTAAAAGAGAAAAGTCGGGTCAAACTTAGGTTTGACGAGAGGCAAGTGTAGTGTCAACATATTGGAACGAAGACGGTCAAAGATTCTGACAAGAAGACGACAAAGTAGAGGAACCATTTTGGAAGTGGAAAAGGAAAGACTGTAAAAAAAAATAGGCTGGAAAAAAAAAAGAGAGAAGAGATTTGGCTTTTCGAGGAGATGTAAGGTTCGTTCGGTACCAATGAGGGAAGATTGTAGGACCACTTCACAGTTGGATCCCGATTTTATAATTTAGTTACTTATTTTATAATCACCATATGAATTGTGTTATATATACTGTAATTGTTTTATTGATAGGGAAACAAATAATTATTCGCAAGTAGAGTATAAAATTGAGAAGATCTTTTGGAAATTGAAATTTTACTAGTCAGAATCTTCTTGTTTGACGCCGTTGTTTCTGCTCCTCCCTTTGACCATCCCTCAGGCCTCAACAACTCATATTTCTTGAATTAGATATTAATTATTTCCGAAACCACAAATATTAAATACTAATATACTAATGAACAGTGTGACTAGAGTTGGTTTGGCTAAACCTAAATGTAAATGGTCATGTCTTCATATGTCATTCATGCTGAAGTTCTAACTTCTATAAGAAAATAGTGTAAAAAGGTGGTTTATATATACTGGATGAACTGAAAAACAATCTTTATATACGAAGGTGGTTTTTAACTATTCGAATGTATAACTTTCACACAAATTCATTACTAAATATTGGCATTACATTAAACCATAGATATAGGTTTTTATTGAATAAAGAATAAATTTTTACACTAACTTTCAATCACGTTTAAAAGTTCATTCCATATCAATAGGTTTTTATTGATTTTCTTTTTTTAAATTGGTTAGCTTAAATTTTGTAAATTTGAAGTGAGTTACTTAATTACTTCCATATCGACCAACTCTGCGTCCTATTTGGAAGTGAGTTACTTAACACTTCAAAATGTCTCTTTAACTAAACATGTGTTTTGTTAGAAAAGTCAATCAGATCACCACCCTATGTTACAAAAATTTGTCCATAACTTTAACTAAATTATAAAACTCGTGGGAAATATATATACCATTTTCACATTTTTCTTGACCATATTTTTATTCCTTAAAGAAATTCGACCGGCTCTTTCTTGATAGAATGTTAAAATACCTTAATCTTCTATCGCATTATGCACATATTAATACTACTTTGCTTAAACCAAAGATGTATAAATTTGCTTAAACCTAAGATTCATGGTGCCAATATTGTGACTTTTTCGATTCGTTTGTAAACTAGGATCTTTTGATCATTCACAAGTTACTAGTTCAACACTTGCAGTAGTGATTGACGCTTGAGAATATATTTGTCCATGTCTTGGGGATAAACCGCCTAAACACTGCTTTGTGACGTTCTTAGTAATATGTGATGTACGGGACTATATAATAGTTTTGGATATATAGTCATCAAATTGGTAGACTGCAGTCAATTTGTTTTTCTAATGTGTTCATTTATGCATTATTTTACCTATATTTTATGCATTTTTCTGCTCAAGTTTTTCTTATTTTTCCCTTTTTCAAATTTAGAATAAAAAAAACTTTTGATGTGTTAAATTATAGTTTTGTTATTTTTAGACTAAAGTGGATTTGAGTTAGAAAATATTAAAGAAATATCTAGATAATATTTTCTTAGTTTAACAACCTAACATATACAATATTAAATATTATTAGCTTAGTTTAACAAATTAACATATTATATCTGAAAAAACATAAAAGGCCACAATCGCCCTTTTAATCTCAAATATCATTAGATTGGTTATGAATGTACCAAAGTATACACTTTGGATTATACCATGCTGCTTGAATTTGACTTTGAGTTTTCGACTAAACTTGCATCTAAATATCTAATATCAGCATGAAAGAAGCATGCCATGTTTTATTAAAAAAAAAAAAAAGCATGCCATCTTTCAAAGGCGACACTTACATTATATACTCACTGAAGGTAGAGTTGTTTCCTACAAGCCATATTTGGAATGATGTGTTTGAGAGAAGTCCAAGACTATCAAATGTGGAAATGGACCTTTTTCCTATACAGAAGGCAACATACAGTACAGATATACAAAAGTCGTTGTAAATATTTCTAACAATTTTGCAACAAATTTACTTATATGAATATGAAAGTCCACCTTTAAACTATTTTATCTATCCAAATTTTTCAATGTACTTTGTTACAACAATTTGCAGCCACTATATTGCAAAACTTTGTAGCGGTTTGCAACAGCCATGATTCTTTATATATTATTGCAAATTTGCAACAGTTTAGCAACTAATCCAAGCAAAATAATAGTTGTATCAATCTTGTTTCTCATTTTGATATTTGTTTGAATTTAAGATTTAATATTTTTGTTTCTTGAACGCATGTCAAATATCATTGAGAGATTTGTAAAGTTGAGAGATTTTAAAAATTCTAGTGAATTTTTTTCGATTTTAAAAATATATTATTATGGATTCTCATTGATTGTTGTTGATTTTTCAATGATTTTTATAATCAACATATTCTTTTGTTTCTTTTACAATTTAAACTTTAAGTTAACATGTATAAATGCTATATTAATAAAATTCTAAATATTTTGTTTACTATAGATATATGTATATAATATCTTTCATAAATATATTACTTTTTATTAACACATTGTTTTTTCATCTTGTTCTTCAATCATGCATAAACAAATAATTTATTTACTTTTACCATTAATTTATATTTTATTTATTGATTTGATTTGTTCATATAATTATTTTCTGTGAGAATAATTGACCATCTGTTGCACTAAGTCATATATATTATTTTATATTTTGTAATTTTGTGAATTATTTTAAATTATTCTTTGTTATTTTGTATTTTTTTAGTTTCATTTTTTTATTTTCATATAATTAGAAAATAGTTAAATCTTATTTTTATACTAACTATGATTCTTCTTTTCTTATACTGTTTTATTTTAATCGATGCAATTATTAATAAAAAATATTAATATTTGTGTGTTTATTTTTATATGGATTTTGAAAATCTCTTTTACAAACAAAATATTTTGAAAGTTGAATTTTATGAGTAAAATTATAGAAAATCCATATTTCAATAACACTGATATTTAATAGAATTACAAAATTAATAGTAACTAAATTTTTTGAATAACAATTTTTTGTAATAAAATTTAAAATTTATTAAATTAATAGTAATAGATTTTATTAAAATTTAAAAATTAATGAATAATAATGATGAAATTTCAAAATCTTAATTTAAAAAAAAAATCCCAATAACCCAATTTTAGACCATTCGGGCTGTGCGTGGATAAAACATGGTGAAATAATTGCAAATGAGCCAATATTGGGCTCAAAACCTTTAAATGGGCCCAGATCGTCAAATTTGTGACGCAACTAAACAATTTCGAGTATCATAGAACATAGATGGGTGTGTCTATTTTGGGAAACTTACTGAAAATAGATAGATTTTGTCAGATGGGAAACATGAACGGATGAGCCTATACCTTTCAAAAAATAAATTCCACATTTGGAAACATATTAAGAAAACTGTTAGGATCCTATTTACTCTCTCGCATACAAAGAAACTTCTAAAGATTGAAAAAACTAAAGAGAGAGGTTTTCAGTTATGACGTGGAGGACGAGTAGACGGCTTCGGATAATCTGCGAATAAGAGCGGCGACCGACGGTGGCGGTTCTTCTTTGCCCCCGGTACAAACCGAGAAACTCTAACCGGTTCTTTAGATGTCAAACCAGAGACAACATTTTGATCCTAAACCACAGAAATATAAGAAGCATTAGTTTTTAGAAGTTGAAAGATTCAAATTCCGATGAAAGTAAAATAAAAAAAACAAGAACCTTGTCAAGTGAAAACCGAGAATCTGTTATTTGAACATTGTCTAGGTGACGAGAATCAGAAAGATGCAAGAGAAGAAACAAGAGAAGAGCTGAAGCAACATGTACTGAACTCATAATGGTCACAAGAGAAAAAAACGATCACGAGGCTTAACGATTGTAAGGATTATGGAAACGTAAAAGGACTACATAATATGACTATATGAGTAAGTTCACACTTAAGTATATGTAAATTAGAGTTGAAACCAAGAAAAAAAAAACACAGAATAAACAAGTGTTTTATTTTTATCAATCCAGATGAATGTGCTGGAAAAGCTCATGGGAAAAGCCAAAGATGAGTCAAAAAGAGAGAATGAAAATAAGACAAAAGGAAAAGGACATATTAAACCTCGGTGAAAAACGAGTGATTCACTACTTCTTGTCTCTCCACACAATCTCAATTTGACCAATCTCCAAAACTTACCGACCACCACGGTAAAATATTCTATGCTAGTTTCGAATTGTATCATTTTTGTTAATATAATAATACTATGTGGATACTTAAAAGGCATTAGTTTAATCAGCTTAATGGTTTTTGGTCTGCCTCGAGAATGGTTTTGGAGGTTGACGATGACTGTTGTGTCTGCCTCTTTAACGGATTTAAGTAACACCACTTTTCGTGCTTCGACACAACCCACGAGACATCTTGTCTTCAAAAAGTGCTCTTGGATTTGCTAAAATCCTGCATGTTTGTAAAACAAATAACACATGTTAGTTACAAAGTAAAAAGAGCTTCAAGAACCAAGAACCCAACATCTGGACCAAGAATGTTCCCTGAGAATGTCTTTCCTCGGTTCCAAGTAGCCATGAAACCTGCAAATTCAAGCTAAAGAAACCGGAACAGAGTAGACAAGAGAGGAACCAGCTTTTAAGGAAACAGTTGAGCAATTGATGACACCACAGAAAAATCTTTATCGGATCAATGATAGTACAGTCAACTTTTTTTTTTTTTGCTTTATTGTAAAATTACATACAAGTGAAGGTAGCGTCAGTACAAAAGGGCATTCACATATAGACTGGCTACTACATCAGACTGCGAGCAAAAGTTAGGGATCTGCAAATATCAGAGCTTTATCTATCAAACAAGAGCAATGAACATAAAGCTACTCTAGATCCTCTTCTTCCTTGTCTGTTGCAAGAACGCCTCCAATTTACAGTAGAACAACGCTTCTAAATGGCGTGAGAGCTCGAAAACGGAAGGGCTCATTACTTTTACGCAAAATTATCGTCACATCTGGAGACGATTGTTCACTGTTACAGCAACATAATTTGTTCTTTGCAGGTCCTGCAAAAAAAATTGAGTCGCAGAAGGTTTTAATATCAACTCACAATAATCTTACAACTAACACAATTTGGCATCACCAAGTCAACAACAAATGGCCATTAGTTTCAGGCAAAACTTAAACCATCAGTTTCTTGATGAAGCCTTCTGCTTCACAGATTTCACATATGCAAAATGTTTTCCTTTCATTCGATGCAGAAAGCATAAATGACCTACCAATTCAACCAGAAATGGCAAATTCTCGTCAAAGCATACAGAAATACGGACTGTGCATCGAAAATTTTACCTAACAATCACTTGCCATCCAAAAGAACCAAGTACAATTTTAAGACAATGCATACGGAATCACAAGTTTAGTGGATGTTGTTGCTATCAAGACACTGTTACTTTGATGCAGTTAAGAAGAATACTTAACGATGGAACAATAAACTCTAACCTCAAAGGATCACTTTCAATGGAATTTGGCGTCAGGGTGGGGAATACTCCAGTGGTTAGTGCATGCGCAGGATTATTTTGTCTTTCAAACTGACGGGATAACTGTTCATCGCTTGAGACTTCTCCTGTGCTAGGATTCGTCTCACTTTCAGTTCTATCAACAAAAAGAGGCTTACGGCATGTAGGACAAGAGTAAACCTCATTTAAGCCTTGATCCAACCTGCCACCATCTAAATAGCAATTGCAACAGCACCACGCTAGCAGCATAAAGGAGTTCGCATACCATGATCATGATCGCAGGCATCCAAGATGAAAGAGGTGGCTGCATTGAAGTCTTTTAGCCTTAGCCATTGGTTCCTATCATTTGTAACGGAACCAAGACTGGTAAGCTACTGCAAAATGCAAAGACACCACGAAATATCTAACAGAAGCATACCGGACATATAGCACATTCGTCATCATATGCTCGTATCTGTTCTGAAGTTGCATCAGGAAGAGCTGCATGAAGAGCACCTAAAGCTGCTCTCAGTTTGATGTATCCTTTTACTCGTCTCAGTATTGCACTTAGCAACGCCTGCCAAAATCAAATGGGAAACAAAGACAAAGAAATCAATGTGTAGATCTCTCTGCCTATTAAGCATCCAGTTGAGTGGCACTTTTACAAAGAAAGTCGATTAAATACTTACTCTCATGTTGAGAATCAAAACTACATCCACCAGATTCCATGGAGCAACCAGATGTGCAAGTACTTGGCCATTACCAAGGTATCTATATCTAGGAAGAAGCCAAGATTCCGGTTGAGTAGAGCTTTCCATTCCAATAATGATCCTATCCAATGGGTAAGGGTTCCAGTAAGTAACGTGAACGTCAAATAGGCCAAAAATATCCAAGAGAATGCATGACTGCAGTCTAACAGAGATCATAAGCCGAGAGAAGATGAAACCTGCTGTCACAGAATCAAGAAACTTCGATCTTTGGCAGTCTAAATTCTTGACTGCTAAGTGGTTGATCCACATATCAAGCAATTGAAACCCTTGAATCAACAACGCCTGAAAATTGATCCATTATGTGATTGATCAACCCTCTGCTTTGTTAAGCATGGTTGCAAAGAAGGGCAACCGTAAAAATGAATACAACTGATCTTAATCAAGTACCTGCAAGGTCTCAAAAGCTAGACTGCATGGCTCAAAAACCAATTGTATTGTACATCTTTAGGAAAAGCTTCATCCTGCAAGATTTGCCAAAATTGACATTTTATTACTCAAAACATCCAGAGACGAACAACAGGTCTCAATCATTAGAACAGAGCATGAGACTCCAAGAGGCCTGGTGTATGATGTTAAGATATATCCCTATTTTCTCTTACTTGAACTGTAGTCTAATAAAACATATGGGAACTCTAAACACAACCTCTTCTGATACGATTCATCGTGTATACCTGCGAAGGAAGAAGAAGGAGGTCAACAGAGAAGAGGAAAGTCAAGAGAAAACAGCTGAGCTGGACTAGCTCGAGTGAAATATTGTTCGAGCAACTGAATATAAATAGTTGATTCGTTTTACATACCGAACTATCGAGAAAATACAGTTGTAACAAAATTTGCGTATGTGCAGTTCTCTGATCATATGTGATCAGTGATCCGATTGTATGTGATCGTAATCTTCTTCTGTAATTCTCTTGATTCATCAATCCTAACATTCTTCTCTCTCAAATCCCGATCTAAAGTCTTGCGGTGAAACTGAGTCGAAGCTAACGCGACGGAAGAGTGACGATTCAGAAACGACGAAGACGATAATGGCTACTCCTATTCAATTCAAATCAACGGAAATCGGAGAAGCAGCGACAACATCACAACAATCGATTGAGGGAGAACAACAATTTAGCGATGAAGAGGATATCGCGGAGAGCGAAATGAGCTTAAGCTTCGTCAAAAGCGGCTACAAACGCCTGAATGTAGCACAGAAAGAGAATGTGAAGCTTTTCTAGGAGATTGACGGAAAGTTGAGGAATCTCGGCAATAAGATTATGGATCTGGACGGAAAGATGGGCTCCATCATTCAGCTCTTCCAACAATCTGAGGCACAAAAAGAAGGGACAACGGAAAGACCTCGAACAGCTCCTCTGTATTCCAGAAACTCTGATAAGGTACACTCGAACAATCTGGAACAAAACCGGGAAAATAATGAGCTAGGTTATCGATCTGGAAAGTTGAATTTAGCTACGAGAGAAAGTATATTACAGAAAGTAGAAATGCCAGCTTTCTCGGGGAAGCATCCATACATATGGATACAAGACGTCAAAAGATTCCTCAACATTAGTCATTATGATGAAAATAGACGACTTGAGATGGTTGCGTTAAGTCTTGAAGGACGAGTAAAGAAGTGGTTTGCTTGAGAATTAAAGAGAAAAAGCTTTCACAGCTGGTTAGACTTCAAGAACAAACTAGCATTGCGGTTTTCAGAATCTCTAGAGGAGGATCTGGCAGTTCGCTTATTCTCGATCAAACAGACAGGATCAATCAGACAGACAGGATCTTTGAGTTTGAGGAGTTGTCAGAACTGTTTGAGGGGATTGACGATGAACACTTAACAAATATTTTATACAATGGACTCAATTAAGAAATGAAAGAGGTCATATGAATGAAAGAACCAGTGGGACTTGAAAATCATATTGCAGCGGTTTTAAGAATGAAATCGAGTGCATTATGCAAAGTAGTTGGTAGTGCAGTGACAGGGGAAACAAGAACACCGTAACAGTATCCGTTGAGATCGTCGTCAGCATACAATTCTCAGCGTAATGATCCTAATACAAAGATGAAAGGGAACCCCAATAATGTTTTGCAGTCAGGTCAGAGTCAGGAAAGAAAAGATAATGTCGGACAGCAGAGAAACAACGAGGGGAGGTTTAAACAGAAGTATACGCCAGAAGAATTGGATCAGATGCGGAAAGATATGATCTGTTTTAAATGTAAAGCGAAAGGATGGACACGATCTCATAAATGTGTTAAAAAAGAGCTCCATATAATCACAGTCCTCAACAGCTTAGAAATGGAAGTCTTGGATGACTGCGAAGATAGTGAGGAGGAGGAGATATTCCTTGAAGCAATGCAAGAATTGAGAACGCTATCTTTGAACTCTTTTCTTGGCATCAGATCACCAAAAACAACCAAACTGTACGGCCAAATTAACAAGACTGATGTGATAATGATGCTAGACAGTGATGCATCCCATAACTTCATCACCCCTGAAGCGGTGAAGAGGCTTCGGTTGAATGTTTGTGAAGAATCAAGCCTAGACATTCTATTAGGCAACGGAGTCACAGTCAAAGGCATTGGCGTATGCAATGCATTGACATTCCAGTTGTTGGACGTTTCATTCACATCAGACTTTATAGCTTTGGAACTGGGAATGGTTGATGTTATTTTAGGCATACAATGGCTTGAGACTTTAGGGAAATGTGAAGTGGATTGGAAGAAACAGGAACTGTTCTTTGTCTATAAAGGCAAGAGAGTGGATTTGTTCGGAGATACATCTATTCATACTTTCAAGTTCTCCATGAAGTCATTGTCGCCTATCTCTACCATTGTTGCAAAAGGAAGAAGAGAGCTTTTAGCAATCAATGAGGAGGTAACAGCATCCATTCAGAACATTCCTGATCAGCTAAACTCACTCCTGGAAGAGTTCAGTCACGTGTTTGCATTACCAACAAGTCTGCCACCTATCAGAGGAAAAGAACATGCAATTAATCTCTATCCAGGAGTAACGGCAATCTCTATGCGTCATATAGGTACCCACAGGCTACTATGGTGGTAATGGAGAAGACGGTTCTTGAGATGCTCGAATCATGCATTATCAGACCAAGTACTAGTCCATTTTCTAGTCCGGTCTTTCTGGTCAAGAAAAAAGATGATTCCTGGAGGTTCTGTATTGACTATAGAGCACTGAATAAAGCAACCGTACCAGATAAATTTCCAATACAAGTTATTGACCAGCTCCTTGATGAACTGTACAGAGCGACAATCTTCTCCAAATTGGACTTACGTTTAGGCTACCACCAAATTCGAATGGAAGATATGGACATTATGAAGAAAGCTTTTCAGTAGAGGGCCACTATGAATTCTTAGTGATGCCTTTTGGCCTTACGAATGCACCGGCGACATTTCAAGCACTTATAAACAAGATTTTTAAGCCATTTATGCGGAAGTTTATACTGGTATTCTTTGATGATGTGCTGGTCTACAGTTAAAACGTGACAGAACATCTCAGAGTGGTACTGAGTATATTTGCAGAGCAGAAATTGTTGGCAAACAAGAAAAAGTGTTCTTTCAGCTTACGACGAGTAGATTACTTGGGCCATATGATTTCAGAAGAGGGGGTAGCTACAAATGCTGCGAAGATAGCAGCTATGAGAGACTGTTCTACACCTAAAATAGTCAAACAACTTCAAGGCTTTTTGGGATTGACTGGATATTACAGGAAATATATCAAGGGTTATGGTGCTATTGCAAGACCATTAACTGAGTTAACCAAGAAGGATAGATTCCACTGGTCACCGAAAGCTCAGGATTCTTTTGATACATTGAAGAAGGCGATGATTTCAGCTCCCGTGTTGGCTTTACCAGATTTTGAGAAAACATTCGTGATAGAATCTGATGCTTCAGGGTTCGGCATGGGTGCAATGTTAATGCAAGATCATAGAGCAATCGCGTTTTTCAGTTATATGTTAACAGTGAGGGAGCAGTTGAAACCTGCGTATGAACGAGAGCTGATGGCAGCGGTTCAGAAATGGAAACACTACTTAGTGGGGCGGAAGTTTGTTGTTCATACATATCAAAGGAGTCCTTTGATTTAGGCCAACCCCAAACTTGGTTTCGATACCTTGCATGGGCTGAACTATGGTATACACATTGTTTCACTCATCATTGAAGGCGTCTCCTTTCCAGGTGGTTTATGGCCGAGAACCTCCAGTAATTTTACGTTTTGAGGAGGGATCCACGAATAATTTCGAGTTGGAGGAAGCGTTGAAGGAAAGGGATGCTATGTTGGTACAGATTCAGGCTAATTTAGCGAGAGCTCAAGACTTAAGGAAGGGCCAAGCTAATAAGCATCATCGTGATCTCGAGTTTCATGTGGGAGATCGAGTTTACCTCAAGCTGAAACCCTATAGGCAAAATACGGTGGTGAAGCATTACTGCCCTAAGCTTGCAGCTAATTTTTTGGTCCATATAAGGTGTTGGAAAGGATCGAGAAAGTGGCGTACCATCTTCAATTACCCACCATCATCGAAAATACATCCTGTCTTCCACATTTCGCAACTTAAAGCGGCTCTTGGTCAGGGACAACAACTACAATCTCTTCCCCCTTCTTATACAGATTTGGAGTCTATTCGGTTGGAACCTGAATCTATTAGCCTCTCGACACTCAATAACAGGGGAGGTTGAGCTATTAGTGAAGTGGACAGGCATGTTGGAACATGAGAATACGTGGATGCCTTCTCGCACATTTGTTCAACAGTTTCCAACGTTCAAGCTTGAGGACAAGCTTGTTTTCAAAAGGGGAGATAATGATATGATTCATCGTGTATACGTGCGAAGGAAGAAGAAAGAGGTCAATGGAGAAGAGGAAAATCAAGAGAAAACAGCTGAGCTGGACTAGCTTGAGTGAAATATTGTTCGAGCAACTGAATATAAATAGTTGATTCGTTTTACATATTAAACTATCGAGAAAATACAGTTGTAACAGAATTTGCGTATGTGCAATTCTCTGATCATATGTTATCGTGATCTTCTTATGTAATTCTCTTGATTCATCAACTCTATTCATTCTTCTCTCTCAAATCTCGATCTAAAGTCTACCATCTTCACCGCTCAATATAATGGCACTGTACTAGAGCATAAGATCACCATGTTACCACTAGAAACTATATGCATCAGTCATGCGCAAACCATTCATAGACCTCGGTTAATTTGTTTTGCCTCCTTTTAAATTCAACACTGCCTAAACTTTCTTTAAGAAAATATGTCGGGTCCAGAGATAGAAACTAGGAGGAAAACATTACATGATCATTTTGAAGAAACGGGTTGAAAAAGCCACAAATGAACAATTTTACATCATACCACAAAGTTTAAAAAATACCATAACAAATCAGCAGAGAGAACCATGAACAGCGCTGTATACACACGAAATCATGTCCAAGATGTTGAAGAAGGAGATGCATTCAATCGTTCAAGCCGGATCTCCAGCTTTTTGGTTTCAGCAGCATACAAATCTCCGAAAAACAGTCTGCAGGAAATTTTCAGAGCTATCAAATCGCCACAAAATGGCTGAAACTGAAAGAAATTTCCCAAAACAGCTAGTCTATCTATTCCCCTACAGGTATTCGCAGATCCTACTGAGGCAACAAATAGCATGGAGCTGTATCTACTTGAAATTTTTTATTTCAGAGAAACCCTTTAGAAAATGAGTAGATCATCAGCAAAACAAAGATCTTAGAGTCCAACCAGCAAAAAAAGAAAAGATGATTTTCAACTCCTTTAGATCAGAAATACTTGCTTCTTACACCACAACACTTTATTCTCAAGTACAAAATGATTTTTCATGCTGTTTCTGACAACCAAACTTAATTTCATTGAAAGAAAAAACCCATTAGTTATAAGGCATTTGAGATATCTTACACAGATTAAAGTTTGAGAAAGCTAACTAACGAAAAAATGGCTTAAACTAAACCTAAAAATATAAAAAGGTCACTCTTACCTTGAGAGAAAGAACCAGAAGAATGTATACATTAAGCACAAAACTAGCCAGCAAGGCAACTGCAGTGTGAGAACCCAGAAGCAGCTCAAGTGCATCCCGAGAATCCCATAAAGAAACGTTCTTGGTGACTATCCCATAAGCTCTAAGTCTATCCAAAGACAACCTCGTCCAGACTTGTAACCCAACAAAGCTCAATGCTGTTGTCACCACGGAAATGGGCAGATTATCACTATTACCAACTATATACAGCTTTCTCTCACTCAGACTTAAAACCCCATAGAATCATTGAAAAATCAAATGAGCATGAAGTCACCTGCTGCATTAATGTGACTTTGCATCAGTATTTCAAAACTTGTGTGTGGCTACCAAAAGTTCGAGGATTGAGTTTAAAAACTCAGGGAAGGTCAATCGCAGCAATTACAGTTTACAAACATGATCGAGAAGTTCAAAGGATCCAAGACGTGAATATAAAAATCACTAAAGTAGGAGTATTGAATTTAGAAATTGGATTGAATTGAAAAGAATTGAAATTTCCATTAAATACCAGTGCTATTCAATATATATTTTATTAATTTTTTAAAATATTTGCGTTATTGGATTAAATGTTTCCATTCATTTTTTTAAAATTCTTTAAATATCATTGTTATTCAATATACTAATTTTTCAATTTTATTAAATATCTGTGTTATTCAATTTTGTAATAGTTTTGATTATATTATCATTTGAAAGAAATTTAATAGAATTTTATATAAAAATTGTTAAAAACCAATTCTTACTATTTTTACTAGAATTTTGATAAAATTAATTTAAATTTTTAAAAAATACTTTAAATTATTTAAAAATTAATTATTTTTGAATTCTTGTATATTCTATCAAATTCAATCATCTAATAATACCCCCTAAAATTGAAGAAACTGGTAAATTCAATCAACCAACAAAGGATAGAGATGAGCAGAAACAATGAGAGATTTAACTATTCAAATCGAGGTTCGATAGCAGCAAAGAGATGATGATGGAATGTCTTTTTTGAGTTCACGCGACGGATGTCGATTTTGAGTCCTCCTCAGCGCCGACAAATTCCGTCTCTGTCTATCTAGAGCGATGGAGAAAGCAAAAAGTTATTTTTTAAAATGTAGAATTTAAAATTAATAAAAACGAAAATATCATATTTGTGATAGGGATCATTCGGTTCAAAATTTTACCACCGTGGTTAGTTAAAAAGTACTGTAATTCAATTTTACGATATCTACAGGTAAAACCAGGAGTTTGCAGTCTTCCAGAAACATCCAAACATTTGAGACTTCATTAATTTGACCACACAATAATCCTTAAGATAAATAAGATAATTGTTTTCACCAAAAAAACAAAATAATAAGATTGCATTTCTTGGGATCACATATTGCTCCATGGTGTCACATTTAGTTTAGTTTTGTTAATTATCTCGTAATCGCAGCAATTTTCGTATTTGGAATCCGAATTATCCTATAAACAAGAAATTTCGAAACAAAAATTACAGATGCGATCAACGAAAAAGCTCCGTGAAAAAAAAACTGAGAATTCATTACTCACTCTCGCTCATGTACTTTTTTCATCAGTCAAAAGCCAAAAACAACACACAGAGAGCAGCAGAAGCAAAACTCTAATCGACCTGAATGTGGCGAACATTGTTACGCTCTTCCTCTTTCATCTTAGGAAGCACCACTTTCAACACGCCGTTTTTCATCTCCGCCTTGATCTCATCCGTCTTGTACACTTTCTCCGGCAATCCTATCCTGCTTGTAAACTTCCGTCCTTCGCCGGAAACGGAAACATCTTCCTCCCCGTCCTCTGCTTTCCCTTCTCCTTTGATCACAAGCGTGTTCTGTTCCAGAGCCAGCTTCACATCCTCTCTGCTCAGTCCCGGCATATCGATCCTCAGGCACAACGCATCGTCTTTCTCCTTCACGTCCCAGCCTCGTCTTACTCCTGAAGCTCCCATCCCACGCGTCGCTGATACCAGAGGGCTTTCGCCGAACTGATCCATGAAATTCAGCACCTGGCTCAAGCTCCTCGTCGGTGTAAACGGATCGAATATGTCTGTGACATAGATGAAAACCATAATCAGATCCGATACAAGCGTACAATTACTCCATTAGAATACTCAAATTAGCTCGTCGTTAACTTATCGGATTTCAAATTTAAAGTAAAATTGGATTTAGGAACTAATAGCCTCCGCGATTTAATCGAAGAAATTGTGGATGAGAGAAGAGAGAAGACGATTTACCTGAGAAGATATCGCCGCCGCGGCGAGAAACCGGTCGATTTGAGCGGTGCTTCCGATCGACGCCATCATCGCCGTCTTCATAGCTTCTAACGGCGTTGGTATTGAAAAGTCGAGAAGCAGCCGCCGGACGAAAGGCACGGACGGATCGCGGGACGACGGTTGACGAGAGAAGTCTCCTGAGAGCTAGAGACGATGACGCCATTTTCGCAGAAAGAAGAAGAAGCTAGACTGATTAATCAAAGAGAGAGTACCACAGAACTCGATCAGATTATTTTTTAGCTGAGCACTTGAGCGAAGAGAAAACTGTTGGAGAGAGGATTATAAAGCAAGGAGAAGAAGCTACTGGAGAAAATGATAGTTTCAGAGAAAAGTTTTTAACTTCTTAAGGATGGTTCTAGAAGTGCGTGGTTCCCAAGTAAAAAAAACGCAATGATATTGCTCTAAACGGCCCATAACTTTTGGGTCAAGATTTTGGAATTAAGGTTTATCTTCGCTTCGGTTTTGTGTAGATTTTGAGTACCGATTAAAAACCGAATTTCAACTCGGTTTAGATTGATTTGGTTCAGTTTCTTCTTTGAATGTTTCTGCGAAAACAGAGATTCAGAGGATCTTCTTCTTCTCTTCAACATCATCGAATTCGAAGTTGAAGAGAGAGACTGAGGGAAAAAAGGATATGATGCTGGATCTGGGTCCGTTCTCAGATGAGAAGTTCGATGCGAAGAGGTGGGTTAACTCGTCCTGCCAAGCGCGTCACCCGCAGGACTCGCTCGAGAAACACCTGGTGGATCTGGAAATGAAGCTCCAGATTGCCTCCGAGGAGATCGGAGCGTCTCTCGAGGAGCAGAGCGGAGGCGCTCTCCTCCGTGTCCCTCGCGCAACACGCGATGTCTTGCGCCTCCGAGATGATGCGGTGTCTCTGCGTGGTTCAGTCGCTGGAATCCTTCAGAAGCTCAAGAAGGTACGCATTGTGCTACTTCTGCTTTGGTTTGGGGAATGAATCTGAGCTTTTGGTTGGATCTCTTCTAGCGTCACAGTGAACAGTGTAAATCCAGATCAGATTACAAGTTGTTACGCATGAATCATTGGTAGTGGTATAAGAAAATGCGTGAGAGAGGAACATATTATCCAACATATTATACTAGTTAGATGATAAATCCTCTCAAATTATCGGATTCAACCTGAGAATTGTGCATTTTCAATCATTTTACTTTTGGGTTGGGCAATCTAGTTGCTTTAGGTGTTCTTCAAACTTTGCTATTACGTTTCTCTCTCAACAGAATGTAGTAATGTCGAAATTGGCACTTACAGGCAGAGGGTTCTTCAGCAGAATGTATAGCTGCTCTTGCGAGAGTGGACGATGTCAAACAGAGAATGGAGGCTGCATACAAAACACTACAGGTCAGTATGCATACTAATTTTGTGAATCCATCAAGTACACACTTGGTTCGATCTGCAATTGATTCTCTTCTCTCTGGTATATGGTCAGGATGCTGCTGGGTTAACTCAGTTAAGCTCGACGGTGGAGGATGTTTTTGCCAGCGGCGATCTTCCTCGTGCTGCAGAAACTCTTGCCAGCATGAGAAATTGCCTGTCTGCTGTTGGAGAGGTAGTACTAGATACCAAATTAAGTAGTGTAAGGGTTTAAGTCTTTTATCAGTCACTCACTCTAACTCCAATTTCGATCAACAGGTTGCAGAATTTGCTAATGTTAGAAAGCAACTAGAAGTGTTGGAGGACAGGCTCGAGGCGATGGTGCAGCCACGTCTTACTGATGCATTAACATATCACAAGGTTGGAACTTATCTATCTAGAAAACCCAAAAAGCTGAGTTTTTTTTTGTCTTGTGTTACTATTATTGGTCTGAAAAGCCTTTCCACAAATCTGGCAGGTTGATGTTGCCCAAGATTTGCGAGGGATTCTAATCCGGATTGGGAGATTCAAGTCTCTGGAGTTGCAATATTCGAAAGTCCGTCTAAAGCCAATAAAACAACTCTGGGATGATTTTGACACTAAGCAAAGAGCCAACAAGCTTGCTAGTGAGAGAAGTGAAAGCCAAAGGTTGTCAAGCGGCGATGAGTTTCAATCGACATCAGCACAGACATCTTTTGCCAGTTGGCTGCCAAGCTTTTACGACGAGTTGCTGCTCTTTCTTGAGCAGGAGTGGAAATGGTAATTATGTACTTTTTACCCCTCTAGTAACGGTATGTGAGATCTCTATACCCAATTATTTGATTTTGCTTTCATGATTGTTCAGGTGTATGGTTGCCTTCCCGGATGATTACATGACCCTTGTCCCAAAGCTGGTGGTTGAGACCATGGGAGTGCTTGGGGCTAGTTTTGTTTCTCGTCTTAACCTTGCAACGGGAGATGCTGTTCCTGAAACAAAAACACTCGCCAAAGGTTTGATATGATATCAGTGCATTTTGATTATCAGATTTCCCTTCTTAGTCTAGTCCTTTTACTCAGATGGATTGAGATTACGTTACTTCCTAGATGGTTTTACTCTACTATCCCCATGCTTTGCTAGATAATTCTGTGAATATCAGTTTCTTCTGCCTTGACATGAGCTACTGTTTTCGGTTATTCTCGTCTTATTTTTGTGCATAATAGCCAACTTGATGAATTTGAAGAAAATCTGAAGTTTTCTTATAAAACAATTGATTGAACCTTCTTCGTCTAGTGATTGCAAATTTCCCAAGCAATTAAGCATTTTTTCGTTCGTCTTACATATATAAATATATATTAGAGTACTGACACTTCTGATGTTCTTCTTGATCAGGTGTGATGGATCTATTATCCGGAGACTTGCCCAAGGGTATTAACATTCAGACCAAGCATCTTGAGGCCCTAATTGAACTGCACAACGTAACTGGCTCATTTGCAAGAAATATTCAGCATTTATTTGCTGAATCGGAACTTAAGGTCTTAATAGATACACTGAAGGCCGTGTACTCACCCTTTGAAACGTTTAAGCAAAAGTAAGTGTCCATGTTATAGATTGTCTCTTTTTTTTGGGATGGTTCTACAAGGCTGCTTGTGACATTAGAATTGCTCATGCTTTAGGTATGGGAAGCTGGAACGTGCAATTTTGTCCTCTGAGATCGCAGTTGTGGATCTGAGAGGGGCCGTTACACGTGGCGTTGGGGCTCAAGGAATCGAACTCAGCGAAACAGTGCGTAGGATGGAAGAGTCTATTCCCCAAGTTGTTGTTCTTCTTGAAGCTGCGGTTGAGAGGTGTATCGGCTTCACCGGCGGCTCAGAGGCAGACGAGCTGATACTCGCACTAGATGACATAATGCTGCAGTATATCTCTATGCTTCAGGAAACACTCAAATCTTTGAGAGTTGTGTTTGGAGTAGATGGTACAGGTGATGGAGTTGCAGAGAAAAGGGAAAGCTCTCGCAAGATGGACTTGACTTCAAATGAAGAATGGTCCATTGTCCAAGGAGCACTACAAATACTTACTGTAGCTGATTGTCTCACGAGCAGGTCTTCTGTATTCGAAGCTTCTTTGAGAGCGACTCTAGCTAGACTAAACTCAAGCTTGTCTATTTCATTATTCGGCACAAATCTAGATCAGAACCTATCACACTTAACAAACGAACAAACAGCTGGAGATTTGTCTATGGCTGGACGAGCTTCCCTCGACGTCGCAGCTATTCGTTTGGTTGATGTTCCAGAGAAGGCTCACAAACTCCTAAACCTATTGGAACAGGTACTGTAAAAAAAAACCTCAAGTCTAAAATTTACAAAAAGATTCTGAAATTTACTGTATACCGATTCCGTTTCTCCTTTCGTTTTGTTTGCAGTCTAAAGATCCACGGTTCCATGCACTGCCTTTAGCATCTCAGAGAGTGGCTACATTCGCCGACACAGTCAACGAACTAGTCTACGACATCCTCATATCAAAAGTCAGACAACGCCTCGGGGAAGTATCTCGTTTACCGATCTGGTCATCGGTCGAGGAACAAACCGCTTTTCCTCTACCAAACTTCAGCTCATACCCACAGTCTTACATTACAAGCGTTGGAGAGTATCTCCTTACTTTGCCTCAGCAGCTTGAGCCTCTAGCTGAAGGAATCTCAACCAATGGCGATTCAAACAACGAGGAAGCTCAGTTTTTCGCAACCGAGTGGATGTTCAAGGTAAAGTCTTAATCTTAATCCTTTTTAATTAACGCAATAACGAGAGACTTAACCGGTTGAAATTACATTAACCAGGTAGCGGAAGGCGCAACGGCTCTGTACATGGAGCAACTGAGAGGGATCCAATACATTTCGGACCGTGGAGCACAACAACTCTCTGTAGATATAGAGTATTTGAGCAATGTGCTTTCGGCTTTGTCCATGCCGATTCCTCCTGTTCTTGCGACTTTTCAGACGTGTTTGGCTACACCGAGAGATGAGCTCAAAGATGTGATGAAATCAGAAGCTGGTATCGAACTCGATTTCCCTACGGCTAATCTTGTTTGTAAGATGCGTCGTATCAGTTTCGATTAGTTTCGACAAGTTTTCACACTTTTGTAGTAAATGTTTTTCTCAAGTATGCAATATTAATACTTCTTGTTATTCAACAAAATTGAAATTCAAAAGCAAGTGATGATATTTTGAAAGAAAAGACAATGGTATAAAAAGGAACATTGTTTTCAATACCGCTAATTTTAAGATAAACTCAATACTCGAGCGTTAAGACTCTTAATCACAAGTTACGTAGTAAGAGAACAGAGGACTTGTAGAGTTTTTACATTTTTTACCGGTTAAGGTAAGAGAGTAAATAATTTTTTTACTCTAATTGTTTAACTATTTTTTTTTTTGCTTAGGTGGACATGATTTTGATTATATTTGGGGGATGCTGTCTTATATGATAAACGACGCCCCTTTGCCGAGTTCGTGGCGAACGAAACCCTAATCATCACTACTTCTGCACTTTTTTTTGTTCGTCATCCTCTCGAAATTTTCTAGAATTGGATCTTACAACTGCATATTCTTTCTCTGGATTCAGTTTGATTTCTTCTTATCCCGCCATGGATGCTCAACGAGCTCTGTTGGACGAACTTATGGGTGCAGGTGAGTTTTCGGAGGAGAAATCTAGTTTCAGCCCGAAATTGAGCACTCGGGAGCTTTCTTTTTTGCTTTTCTATGAAGATTTTGTTGAATTTTTGTTTAATCAGTCAATAAGGAAACGAATTTCTCTCTCGAATTT